GAGCCATTTCAAAATGAATATGTGTTCTATATTTGTTAAGCAGATATTATAGAAATATTGTCTCTTTGATGTGCTTGAGCTCATATGTTCATACTCTATTTATAAGCAGATGAGTGCAACTTTAATCATTTATGACTTTGCAGGCATGCTTCAGTAATTTCATCACATGAATTTTGCAGCTGGATATATTCATTATTTTAATAATGTGATAAAGTTAATATTCACTTGATATATGTGTTAGGACAACTCAATGGCTGATTGAGTGATATAATGTCAGGGGAATAAGAATATATTCCTTTTCCTTTATTGCCAGTGAACTTTCACATCTATAGCTGGAAGTGTGAAGTGTTGTTATCAGTGTTGAGTTGCTGCATCTTGTGTTTAACAGGTGATTCCTTTTGAAATGGGAAGCGCGGAGGATCAACCTCCTCCGGATTTAGCGTCCGTCCTCTTAGCAGAGCGAGTCGTGTACTTGGGAATGCCTCTCTCTCCATCTGTCCATGAATTGTTGACAGGACAATTTCTTTACCTTCAGCATGAAAATATCAAAAAACTAATTTACCTATACATAAATTCGACTGGGACGACTAAGGTTAGAGCTCGTATAATCTTTTGTATTGTCATCCTGTAACAGCTCGCCAAACAACGTACTACTGGATCTCACCTAGCAAGAGATCGAAAATGCTTTGTTTAATTAACATTCATTTAAGACTCATAACATTATATTTCAGTCAGCAGTATTGTTTAATCTTACCTGATCATTAATTTGTGGTATTTTAGCAAATGAGATAGGTTCCGTATTAAAAATGATTACCCTCATGATAAGTATGATGTCAAAGGTTCAATATCATAAATTTCAGTTCTGATGCTTTCAAATTAAATGTGCATATATCTCACCTCTGGATTACATAGCATTATTGTGTGCAAGGCCTATACATTATTGACTGAACCCATGAAGCCAGTAGACTTTACATGGCGTTGACAGAAACAATTTTGAAACTTCAATCGTTTGGTTTGACGATGTTTATTAATCCCTAATGGCACCAATAATGTGCAAAAAATAACCAGAAAAAACATCAGAACTTTCAAACTTAGTTCATTGCATTCATGAAATGAACAATACACCATAACACTACATTGTTTTAAAAGATACCAATACACCATTGCATTACTTTGTCCACAAAATAAAAAAGAAACTTCCATTGCATTCACAAAAGAGATACATCCATTTCATTCCCAAAATGACCAAATACAACATTGCACACCCCTTACACTTCAGTCATAACTCAAGCACACCCATTACACTCAAGCACACCCAAAATGACCAAGTACATCTATTTTAACTAGTTTCAGTCAAAACTCAAGCACACCCATTACACTTCAAGAAGCATAGAACAATCAAACCAATAATTGCAAACAACATGAGCGTCTCCCATTTTTTCCTTCTAGCAATATCTTCTTCCAACTTTTTGGCCCGTTTCAGAAGCCCGGGAATGAGTTGTTGTGCTCTGTAACACATTGGAGGGTCAACCCAAACATGGTATGTGCACCCATCCAACATCTGGAATTCGAAAAAATAAAAAATAAAAAATAAAAAGACTGTTGATAATGTCGAAAAAAGATCCCCAATTAAACTTGCAAACTGAAATCAATAGAATATAAATAGAAACCCTAGACACTCACCCGGTACTTTTCGCATGCTGAGTACCTCCGCCCCGCATTACCATCAGCCCATGACGTCTTTCGCACAGTAGGCTTCCCACAACGACAGAAGTCATCAATTAGCTCCTCCGAAATTTGTCGGAACATTTATTTGAATCAAAAATTTGAAACCCTACAACAAAAGAGAGGAAAAATTGAGAATTTGGAGAAAATTGCTCTCGCAGATGACCGGGAGTGGAGTATTTATATGGGGCTAAAAAAGAAGACATGAAGATTACACCTATGAATACAAAAGGAATAACACCCTAAAGACGATAAAGGTGAACACACTGCAAGTTTAAAGGTGCTATAATGCCAACACCACATATATTCTACCATTGATTGCTACGCATTTATCGGTTTATAGACTAAGGCAATGGATACATGATTCATGAACTAAAAAATCTAGAAACCGCAGTAGCGTGAATCTAGCAGGTGAACATGATAGACACGGCTAATGAATTCCACAAATAATGGGGCAATAGAGATGCCTAATATTCCAATAGGAGCACCAATAGAAGACTTTTATCTACTCCAACAACTTACAGTTCTTCATATCTACGCAGAGCCTTTCAGTATGTACAAAATCCAATAAAAACAAAGTTAATAAGAGCACCAATGTAAAACTTCTAGCTACTCCAACAACAGTTCTTCATATCTACAAAATGCAGAGCCTTTCACAACAGTTCTTCATATCTACAAAATGCAGAGCCTTTCAATATGTGCAAAATCTAATAAAAACAATGTTAATAAGCAATTTCAGTTTTATTCGAAATTGGATTTTTCATGGATAAGAAATACTTTTCCTTCGCCATTTCGCCCCTCTATATCGTTGAAACTACTTGTCTCTTGTAAAATGAAAAAAGAATCAACACACCCACAACAACAAATGAAATCAACCAATTCCATACGACAAATATGCTCAATTCGCATATCGATATTCTACAGATTTTTTGATATGGACTTACATTTGGAAAATAGACTCACCGGAAAAGAGACAACAAGACTTCACTGGTACGATTCCCCTTGGCCGATTAAAATTCCTTTTTAGTGGACACTCAATTGTTGGGTCAATTGCAAGAATCGATTCGCCCTTCTTGCAGTAGGCGATGACCTAGAACGACCGCAAATTCATTTTTCTCGTACGTCCCTTGGTTTTTTGTTCTTTGTACACGAGGGCATAATTGGGAGTTCAAGAAAAAAATTTTGAAAAGCCCAATTGAACATAACGAAGTTTAGGCAACCAAACAAATGAAAAGTTATAATCCTTTGACTCAGATATGAAAACAAACATGATATTAAGGGAGATATAATACCTCTTTTTACCTGGGGCCCACTGGTGTGGATTATATCAAGCCCAATCCAAAAATGCTACCAAACCCACCCTAAATAAAGACTTATAGTATTTGTGTTGCTTTGTTCTTTTTTCTCCTCGTATTGTTCACTTTTCATGATGCACAAAGCATCAATTTATAGTTGTTTTAATACAACTATTCATTAAGTGAAGCCTTTAATCTCCACTTCATTAACTCTTATAACTCCATACATAATGGAGGTGAGTAACAACTCCACCTTAAAGTGGATGTTACAAGTGAATTGATGCATGTAACATCAATTACAAACAATAGTTTAATTATATTAATTTCGAGCATCCGTGACCACACTAGTTAAACCTAAATGAAAAGAATTTACCGCTAACGCAAAAGTAGAAAATATTGCTAAAATGTCCGAATAAAACTAGTAATAAATTCTAAGAAGAGAGAGACTCCTATGTATTGGGCCGATTGGTAAAGCAGCTCACAAAACGGCCCAAATAAAACTCTTGGACAAAGCAACGGCCCAAATAAAACTCTCCAGCACAAAAACTCTCATATTTTTTCCTCCACATCGGTAATGGAAGCAGAATCTCATTGCTTTATATAATGTTATCTTCAACCTGTCGTTCGTCCCTTCGGGGACATCTGATAAAATTGGAACGATACAGAGAAGATTAGCATGGCCCCTGCGCAAGGATGACACGCATAAATCGAGAAATGGTCCAAATTTTTTTTTCCAAATCGAAATCGATCATTCTTCCTTCGGGGTTTTTCTGCAATTTTTTTTTTCACCAAATTTGTATCGTTCTTGTTCTTTTCCTATTTTTGGTTTTACAAATCGGTGGATCCAAATCTGAAGATGGTGCAGCCCTATTCTCAATTGCTATTCTCAATCTCGGACCTGGATCTACCCTGATGGCATACGAGAGAGAAAAAGCAGAAAGCCGCACTACCCACCCGTTAACCTTATCCTTTGTCAACGGACAAATCTCGTTTCGCTACCCAATCCCGCCGGAACCAGAGAAGCCCTCAAACCTCAGAAAAAGAAGGTTTGCATTTATCCCTCCTACGAATTTTAAAATTTGTACTTTAACAGTGAATGTTTGATTAATTTGTACACTGCTGTTTGAACTTTGAATTGTGAAACACTTTAATTGAGGTAATACACTGAGTTTGATTTTGAGGGGGCCTATGATTATGAAGACTCAACTCTCTCTGCTAGCCAGACGCCTTTTATCCTAAACTTGGAAACGTGGTTTGTTTCGGACAAAATGTTCGTGCCAATACATCGGTTATTTGTTGTAGTAACTTAGAAAAAGCACCGCTTTTCAATCTTGTTGATTACATTTAGGTTGCAGCAGTTTGAAGGTTTTATACAAAAGCGCATTCCCTTTATGTATCTTCACACAAACAAAACAAACAAGACGAGTCGAGTTGAAAACGTAGTAGTAGTAGTAGTAGTAGTAGTAGAGTAAATGCTTCAACTAATAAACCCATGCCCTATAAACTGCCAGTTTTATTATACCTATGAATAATTTTTAGACAAATAAAAGTATAACAATACGATATATTTATGTGTTATGAAAAGACTGTTTACGTACTAATTTTCTAAAGTAACTATTTGCTCATAATCGTCTCTTTCCTAGTGTTATAATTCATTTGAGATCCCTTCCAAAGTTTTATTCATAATCACGATTTTAGAGTGATGAATATCCATATTGAAGTAATTGTTTGAAACCCCATATTATCAATCACAATTTATTTAGTTTTCATTCTTATTTTTATTTTCTTAGCAGATTTGAAGAGACAAGAAGACGGTTTGTCAAGTTATGAGGCAACTCATATCCAAGCCTATCTTTGAATTTGATTAATGTTGATAACCAATGTGTGCCAACTTATCTGGAAATTAGTACGGCAAGAAAGAAAAGAAAATTCTTGATTCTATTTTATTTTGTATTTAATGCTGGTTTTGTGTTTAAATTGGTATTTGAACCCACAAATATCAGGTTCAAGCTGCTGACTCGCTGCTCAAATTGGTGTCGGAGTTGAAGCAGATTGCAATTTTCCCAGGATTTGCATCTCTGGATGACCATGTAGACCGTAATTTTGCTGAAAGTACAAATCGGAAATTGTCGAGAATTGGGGAGGAGGTTGCAGAGTCTCATTACTACTCGTCCGTTAGTCCACACGAGGCTTCAGAGTAAAGGGAGGACACGGAATTTTAATTTCTCAAATATGATGGTAAAAAAATGTTTCTGGTGTGTAGTTGATTGATATGTGGATTGGCTGAGACCATATTTACTTTACATTAGATTTGATTAAGGTAAATGCACGCTTTTCTTTTCATTGTATTTCATTTTGGAACTTCTATTTGATAATAACGTTCTTGAGCACCAACTAGTGAGACGCCTAATCTTGTTCCCTTTAATCTTCTTCTCATCATATTTACTCCTTTGTTTTCCATTCACTACATCTTGATCTACCGTTTTTGAGCATACATAAAAATAAAGGGAAAATTACCCTCCTCGCCACATACATTTTACTTTTTGATAAAAAATGTTACCCTAATTTTTTTGGGCACATTTATAAGCCACATTGTTACTTTACAATTGCCATGTATGAAGGTATAGTCTTACCAAGTCAAAACGTGTTTTAAATATGGTAAAATGCTTAAATTATCTTAGTGGGGCAACTGCAAAAGGATGCCTCAAATAATTAAGGATTTGAAAATTCGTTTTTCCTCTGCACACAACATGGCGCTCCAAACATTGCCACTGCCACCACCAGTGTCGTCGCTCGATCAAATCCGTGTCTCGGAGGCCGACAACACCATCCTCCCATCCCCCATCCGCCAATCGTCGCTGCGAGAATACGTCTCGGCGACGCCGCCGCACTACCAGTCCCCTCTCTCGTCGCCGCTTCCTTCGCTGTCAGAGTTCCCTGTCCTCAACGACTACCTCGGGCGGCGACAGGGCTCGGAGGTCGCCGATAGCCCTCGATCTGCTACTCCACCTCCGGAGACACGACCCTGCTCCCGAATCGAGGTCCTCCGGCAAGGATAGAGCCGATTCTTCTGAGCACCAGAGGTTCAACTCGAAGGTTCCAGCGACAAACCCCGAGCGAGGTATTCAGAAATTCGAAACCAAATAGAAAGCGAAGGAACCCGACGAGGGCGGGATCGCGAGATAGAAGAAAATCCTAATCAAAATCCATTTCAGGAAGGATAAAATCGAAAACGAAACCCCATCAGAAGAACCCTCGAGAATTGTCGAGANATAAAAAATAAAAAATAAAAAATAAAAAAAAATTCCCCTCCTTTTCGTTCCAAAATACAAATTTTATTTAACTATTGGTTTATTTTTTTCTAGAAAAATTGAGGCTATCGCATCAATGAAATCAAGCAGTATATATATATATATACGAAAAGATTATTGGAAAAATAAAAAATGAAGAGTTGAATTCCGGTTTATATTTTTTTTTTTGTTACCGAGTTCTAAACAATAGAAACTCGGTACAGGTGTGGCGTTCAAACACTTTTTTGAATTTTTATGCTGCTGCCGACTTCTAATCAATAGAAACCCGGTACAACTGTAGTGTTCAAACAATTTATTGATTTTTTTAATGTTTGTATAACTTGTTTTAATAACTTTATTATAAGAACAATAGAATATGTTTCAAATGAAGGCATTTATTTTATTAAATTTTGTACAAATTTTGTTTTGCAAATATTAGGGTGTTTTACCATATAAAAATAGCAACAATCTATAGATTTCTAATGATATTCAACTTATTTTTTTATTTTTTTAATAGATGTAAACAAGTATGCGTTTAGAGCTTTTCTATTATTCTATGTTTTTTGAAATTTGTAGGGGTCTATGCGTTTAGGACTTTATATTTATATTTATAGGAGTGAAATGAAATTGGCTTTCTACTTGAAAAAAAAAAAAAAAAAAAGAATTTGAGAGGATAACTATAAATTTAATTTAGGTCAAACCGACTCTAATCTATATGGGTGCGTATAGGTCAACTGACACTAAGATTACGTTATTTATTTATAGAAGATATATAGGTTCATTATTTTATATTAATTAATATTCATGTCTGAAAAAATTGTAACTGAAAAAAATCAGTTATTGGCTGTATTTTTTGATTTTGCTATTTTGTTCTGATTTAACTTTTTAATTTTTGAATTTAATTGTTTGTATATATATCATTAGTATTAATAATCTTTTTTGTGATTTGAGGAATTATGATATTGCTGGATGTAATGTTATTTGAAAAATCTTCAGATTTATTTGTTTTGTGGGCATGAAATGTAATTTTATGGCATTTGTTGAGTTTTATATTTTTGTTGTTTTCTATGTCACAAAAAAAAAGAAAAAAATATAATGATAAGTTAATTTGTAAATACATATTCTTTTGCAAAAATATATTGTTATAAGATTTAAATATTTTATAAGGACAAAAAAATTAATTTTTAAATATGTAACCAATTGAATCACGCCACGTCATTATTTCAGAAGTCACAAAAATTATTTAGTTAAAAATTATAAATGCTATTGATTGTAGAATAAGTGAAAAGACTTACCTTATATAGCACAAAATTCATTTGGGCGAGAAAACAAAAATCTTATCTATACATATATATATATACTAGACGGCCTTCAGCTGTGCACAACACAACCGACCCACTATAAGTGTATATCATTTTATATATTGGCAATGTCATGTGAATTGAGTATAAATTTTTAGATTTAAAAAATTCATGGAGTTTATGTATTTAAAACAACATACTTAAAGAAATTAGGTTAAAGCTTCTACTTCCGCAGCTTGACCGAAAAGTGTCTGAGAGAGGAAAAATTAATTAACAATCAAAATCAGAAAGTAAGTATTTTTTTACTATCTACAATATCTACATAAACATGAGGGATAATGAATACAAAAAAAAAAAAAAAAAAAAAAAAAAAAAAAAAAAAAAAAAAAAAAAAAAAAATGTTTTTGAAAACTTAGCACTCTTCTGTGTATCCGCCCATGTTCAACTAACTCATGGCTACACGTTCCAGAAAGCATCAACCTACAGTACATAAACATGAAGAGGTTAGACGGAATCTGCAACATATTAACAATACAGACATACTAAATAAAAATACATTCAGTTTCAAGATGAGTCATACTATCAAATTCCTTGACGACAACAGTCAAGTTAACATATCTTCCTCATCAACCTCAGCAAATAAATCATACAATCAACATGTACAATTATATCATCAGGTCAAACTATCAAACTATCACTGTTGGTTTACCAAAATAAGAGGATACACATCATTATATTTGCTAAAATACAATAACACACACCGTTCTGGGACTGATTTTAAAAAAATAACAAAAGAAATAAAATATAAAGATATAAGAAGTTACATCCAAAACACTTTAGAAACAGAAGATACTTAACTACTTCATGATGCACCACAAAAAAATGCAAAGCAAAACATAGAAAAGAGAACCAATACCAGAAAAGTAAATGAACCTTAAGATATCTCCCACCAACATAGATTGGAGTCTTGTAGCATTGAAGACTCAGGAAGCAGTACAGATTGACTTGGAAATAGCGAAGTTCAAATAATATTTGGTGCTCTTTATTTGAAAGGAACAAAATTTACATAGAACCAAGTTGTAATGTCAAGTAAGTAGATAATCAGTGAATGTGAGCATGAAGTGTACCTTCTCTGTTGGGAAAGCTAAGAAACCAACCACACCATCTTGTGAGTCAATTGAAGAATTTCAACTGGATACATGGCATTCAAATTCACACGAGCCACTACAGCTTTTGAAGGAGGTAAGGTCATAAGTCTCATTCAACAATTTACACGGGAACACAAAATATGTCGGATTGAAGACCAATGAAGAACATACATTTCTAATATATATGCCTACACTTTTATTTTGATTATTATTATAAATGACTCAAAGGATTTTCACTCAAGACAGAGGACTTTATGCATCAAAGATATGATCCTATGAAAGGTATTCGCTGCATGCAAGAAAAATAAAGGTAATGAAAGGAAAAAGAAAGGATGTTCCAACTTTTATCTTCTTATAGCATCCATTGGTCTCATGAGACCTCTGTCCTTCTGCTGATGCATTAGAAAGTGTGTGTATCAAACAAACTCTAAAAGAACTTTCATTAGACTTCACATCCTGCAATAATCTAAGTATTCTACAGATTAATTCATTAAAAAAAATATGAAGATGGAATTAGCACACAATCCCTCACATAATTTGTATCACAACTTCCATCATAGAAGTCCTGAGAAAGACACAAAAATTACAATAACTTCTCTAAAGGGCTTGCCACTGACAGTTTCAAGAAATCCTTGAATTCTAAAGTCATTATTATTATTATTGTTTTTAAACGTAAACAAATAGTTAGCATTTTATTTGAAGTCAACATCATCAAAGGCAACCAAATCATATTCACCAAACCACAAACAAAATCAACTGACCAAACTGCCTGAGCGATATCAGTTGTTATCAACTACAGCTGACAGCACCGAGACCTCGAGAGAAACGCTGTCAGCTTGGTGGCCTTCTTTCTTCACAACATCTACTATTGCAACAACGAAGTCATTAACATTATTCTTTTCACCAACACCATGTCAGCATTATTACTATTAGCTCCATCTTTTTTTTTCGTGTTCTGATAATTCATGTAGAATTTCTCTCAGAATCGATGTTGCCACAGAAAGAGGAGAACATATTTGCTGATGAAGAATAAGTAGCCTGGCTATGCATCGTGCACAAACCTACAACAGTTATAAGAGCTTCGTCAACCAGTCCTTAATTCATCCACATAAAAAAGAGGAACAAATATAACAATTACCGAGCAATAAAAGTAAAGTGGAGCGGCGAAGTGGTGCCGGAGGTTCGACTGCTCAGAGGACAGAGGACAGGTTCTGGCGGTGGCTGCTATCGCTGTTGTTGGCACATGAGCACTGGGGGTGGCGGCCGGGATGCTCGCCATCGGGCTCTTTTTGATGGAAATTATGGGGGCAGCCGCAGGCTGAGTGTAGGGGACCCCAACCTTCTTTATCGTAACTATTCACAACCGATGGGGCAATAGCCAATAGAATTCCCACCACCTAATCCATCCACAAGCATAATTCATATATGAAAATTAACAAATTTCAACAACTTACAAATGAAACTAAATGCAAAAAGAACACGTCACAATACAACTGCAACCACCATGCTATCAAACAGAGCCAAAACATAAAAAGTGAAAGAAACATGCCGACTGACTCAGGGTTTTAAGAACACTACAAAATTGGCCTCACCATAACACAAAGAAGCATAAATTTTCACAAATGAAATGAATTGGAAGTTCAAACAGTTGAAATTCAACTGTACCGAGTTACGAGAAGGTAACTGATGCAGTGGACCTGGGGCTGCGAGGCCGATATGGCAACGTGTGACAGAGCAGCCATATTCGTTTCGGAATTCGGAGTGAGCTCGCTTTGAGGAGCTGTGAAACCGAGATCTTGTTGGACACCTCCGTCATGAACATGTCTTTGTCTTTGATTAGACTGTTGCATTCGATGTCCATGTATAGTGCTGCTACTACTGTGTGCGGAAAATCACCGTGCACTGTCTGTGTGTGTTTCATATTTGTGTGTGATATTAATCACATGGGACATAAAACCAAATTTGGTGAAATTCTTGTAGCAAGACAACACAAAGGATATTGATCTCCATGTCTGGCACCAACATCAGTAAAAGAACACGGAAAAATAGAAAAGTGAACAGAGATGATATAACGTTGAACCGTAGAAAACCCACAGAACAAATTAAAGGGCCATAGATTTCTTACCTTGACCAGAAACTTGGTGAGTATAATGTTGAACCGTAGAAAACCCATAGAACAAATTAAAGGGCCATAGATTTCTTACCTTGACCAGAAACATGGTGAGTATTGAAACAATCAATAAGATTCTGATACGAACAGTGAAACGATCAATGGCGAGTAACTTCGATTTTTTCCCGATTATTTGGGAAATAATACCTATGTCAATTTTGTTATGGAAGGCTGGTGAGGTTCCACGTTGATAGATTCTGACTCTTCTGCACTTGTTGAGATTCTCGACCAACGATTCGCTGAAGTTTAATCATCACCATCGTTGTTCGAACAGGGTGTGGTAGAGTCGAGAAGAATCATTTTCTGCGAGTGGGGCGGCGGCAAGAGGAGTTGAACAGTGTGTAGTCTGCTTTTAGGGTTTGGGAAAATGAGAATTGAGAGTCCGAGAGGATTCTCGAGACATCCGCCTCAGTTTTTAATGGAAGTAAAAGGACTCATTTTAAATTAAAGTTAAATGAAATCTATACACAGTCGTTTCGAAGTTAAATTGAACACATGTCAGTTATTTAAGGTAGACATGTGTCAGGCTTGGAGAATATAAGATATATATATAAACATACTAGGAGGGTAGTGATGTGCAAGGCACAACCGGCCCAAGTTTGTTTATTAATCCTATATGAAGTATTGAATACATAATAAATAAAGAATTGGATGATCAAAAGTTACAATACACAAAAGCATAGTCATGAGCATATCACATTGAGTATTTTCCTTTTACAGAATCCAAAAGCATCTATATGTAGTTGAGACATAAACTTTTAGAATATTTATATTAATTTGATGTTTATACTTAGTTATATATTTTTTCTCAAATAAAATAACTATTATATAGTATGTTAATATACATAAATTTCTATTATTTTATAATAATATATAGTTTTATTTGATATCTATAATTTAGTTTGATAAATAAATTTGAGTTTTATTTATAAAGATATAAATTACTATTTTGCAAATCAAAGATTACCTGGCCATGACTTAAAGAAGGCTCCATTACATGTTTTTTTTTCTTGGTTGGTAGGTTTGCTTAATTTATCAGTATGTATTTCTTTGATCATATTCAATGAGTTGTAATTGAAAGTGAGGTGATCATTTTGATGGGATGAAAATATAGGCTTCATTACATGTTTTTCTGTTTTTCCATTTTTCAATTGCTACTTGTTGATATCTTTTCCTAGAATTCATAGGTTCGGTATTGCTATTCCCTGTGAAGGAATTATCAATTATCTAAGTTCGATATTTTCAGTACACTGTATATTCAACCTTAGAAACTATAAAGATCAGACTATTACACAAATTAACCTAAGGTAATAAAGCAAAAATATTAGTAGAGAATAAGAGGAGTCTATATAAATACGGGAGAGCTGTCAGTTTTTTTTTTTTTTTTAATGGAAAGGTACTATATATTAAGCTATATCTTCTACAATACTATTTTTTTATGCAAGCAGTACACTTATTAGGTTCTTAATACCTAAGTCAAACAACAGCAAGATGCAATAACTTACTTCACTAAATTGTTATGACATAGAACAATTTATAAATTATATAGTTAGGATAGTTTTAACTATTTAAATAAGAACAAATGTTAGACAAAGATAAGGATAAATGAACATTGTTGCTATAATATTTGACTACACATTTCTAGCATCAATAAACTGACTAAACATAAACAGTCAAAAAATTATCAAACATACATAAGAGGAGATGACTACTTGAATAAATACAATAAGNTTATGTTTACCTATAATTAAAATGCAAATGCAAAAATTTAGTTTTTCTTGAGCATGTAAACTCTGTAAGTTTTTTAAGTGATTTGAAAGTGACTATGAAAAATGAACTGTACCTGTAGATTGGGATGTTTTAGTACTTGGGCAACCTGTTGTAGGTATGTTATCATTAGACCATAAATCTATGCACTAAAGTAATATCCAATTAAATTTATTTAAGAAACTTTAAAATTTAAATGGAAACTATTACCTGTAGGTTGTGAAGAAGATGGTGTATTTTCATTAACCATATGGAAATTGTGTAAATTAGTGCCGCTTTGAATTGAAGTTTCTATCGTATATGAATTACTTTTGTTTGCATTTGAAGGGTGCTTTTCCAAGTGAATACTTTTATATGTTGTAAGGGGTTCACTGTGAGTACCGTTACAATCGGCATCTTTAATTTGAGATGGATGCTTATGAGTAAATGACTGTTTATTTCTCTTAGCTCTCCATTTTTTAGTAGCGCTTG